ATATAGGTACAGTAAAAACATTATGACACCAAAAATATTGTTAAGCTCGATAACATTTGTATTACAGCGTTACAAATGTCAATAATTTAACCGAAATATATATTTTAATCTTTATAATCATTATTATATGGGTACTTAGCTACTTTTTGGTATCTACTGCCAGGTACCTAACCTAATATCATCAGAACGAAACAAAATTAATATTTAACTATATTTATGTATTAATCACAGATATCTATACTATAACCTATCTACTATTTTGTTTAGATTTTGGGCACAGCGAGCAATGGTGTAGCTAGGAGAGGTAGTTATAACTTATAACCCTAACTCCCCCCCCCGAAATGTCTTGGATTTTTTTTTAAATTGTACCTACAAGTTAAATAACGTTCGTCAAGTGGGTCAACCTTTTTATTTGTTTTATATAAATGATTAATTTTAATTTTTAAATTATAAAGTATTATTAACTTAATACTTATTTATAATTGCAGAGGCACTAATCATTTTGAATAACGTGGGGGCAAAATATTATTTACCACCCACCCACCCTTGGGCAAAAAAAATTAGGATTGGTATTATTGCAAGTACATGCCATGACGTTTTCATTAAAACTGACAACGGGATTTTTAACTATTTAGGTATATAGGCATTTGATATTTTCGGGTTTTTTTATTAAGTGTTATATGGATACAATATCGTTTTGATATTTTAAAAATGTTTTCAAATTTTACACGAGGTTTATTTTAAGTTGTACTTAATGTTAAAAAAAAAAGTTGAACGTAACGTAATAGTTTTTTTAAGGGTTTTTATAAGGTTCAAATTTTGACGTAAATCGTGAGAATGTGGCATTCAAAATATGTATAAATGAACTTCACTCAAGATAGTACACCGTTAGCAATGATTTATCGTGTAGATATAAATTAAATAACTATATGTCCTACCTTTTCAACCTTCTCACCTACAACAATGTCCATTAGTTCTTTTTTTGATCTACTTCCATGATTAATGATATCGTTAACAATTTATAGTTAAGTAGACATCAATGATTTCTTACCTAAGTTATTATCAAGTTGTAGTTTTGTAGCTTTCCTATTTCGCAGACAATAATAATGATTTGATGACATATTTAATTACTATACTACCATAACGTGTGATTGTTGTTTAACAATAGTATATTAAACGATTTTTTTTCTTTGGTGCAATACATTTATAGTTCACAGTTTTCATATAGCAAACGTTTATATTCAAATTCTAAACTTTGATGTCAAAGTATTCGTTTATCGAATGCAATAATATAATTCTATTTTATTCTGAATTACCTACGTATCTTTATCTAGGGATGGGCAACGTAAGCATTTCATTATTTTGTAGAATATTTGTTAGTCGTAAATTATAGTTTATTTTTGAATATCTATTTATTTTATTTATCTATATAATTATTTTCAAATTCGTCCTTCTAGGTCCTTCGTAGGTAGGTATCTAATTACCTACCTACCTTATCTACCATTAATGCTTATTTAATTAGGTACCCATATACTTAACAGTTTATAACCTATACTTAAACTTAATAGATATTTACTACTTTAGAAGTTAGAATATCCAATAGATGTATACATATACTATTAGTACAAATCTGATTTTTCACTGAAAATAAATGTAAAATTGTTAAATAACTATGCATTTGTACTTATGTACCTACCTCAAATCTATCATTAATTATTAATCTTTGGTTCCAGGTAAGAAGAGCTTATGTTAATTTTTAGAAATGTGTTTATATTTTTGTCTTACATAATTATTTTATCTAAACGACATAAAAGTAAGCATATATTGTATTCTAATACATATTCAATTGTTAACCAGAAAATTAAAATATCTTAAGTCAATACGATACACTTAGTTTAAAAAATAAAAAAATGTATGCCATATAATTATATAACTTAAGCGTTTTGAGTCATTTCGAAATTTTAAAAATATAGGTAATTTACTAGTACTTTGAAAGTATTTCTTCCATGTGCCTCAAAAAATTAGTAGGTACCTAATTTCTATAACCAATGCTTATACCTATCTGTATTCACTTTTTATAAATTATAATACAACAATTGTAGGTTGTATATAAAAACACTGTAGGATCAGTGCTTAAATTTGATAAGGAGCGCAGGTAGCACTGTGCCTTACAACTTTTAGAGTACCTAAAATATTTTTCCTACTTATAGCCTGCGCATTGAATTTTTAAATGATCATCAAAACGCATTTTAGTATTAAGATACTCAATTAATATGCATATTAATAAACAAATTAGGAATACAATATAATAATATGTACTTATATAAATATAGTTAGTATAATAAAGATTATTACAATCGTTAATAATAATATACAGTAAAACACTAAAAACTCGATTATCCGTCTGCAACGGTGACGGATAATCGAATTATACGGATGAAAGAAAACAAATATTTTTATATTTATGATTATTATATATTAATTTTTTTTTAAATGCATCGGTATATTTAAAAAAAATACAATGATATGTTGCACGAAGTATGATATAACTTATCTATAGATAAAAATAAATGCATGCATACCCGTAATACGGACGTACAATATTCTATTTTGATTATTATTATTATTTTATTGTCACGATACTATTATAACAAAAGTTGACGGATGAGAGAGTTACAGATAATCGAAATTTTACTGTAATCATTTATTATATAACCAAATAGGTAGAGATTTGAACATCAATATAACTTTATAAATATTTATTCGATCATTCATAAAATCGTTATTTTTTCCTTTTTATGTTTTTATATGTAAATAAAATTATTTAAAAATTGTAGCTACTAGGTATCTATATTATTATATTAAAATATGTAATTTCATAAATAACCTTAATGAAGAACTTTCTACCATTTATTAAAATTAATTCATTTTTTATGATAATTTATTTAATTAAGTAGGTAGGTATCAATTTTTAAACACCACCATATAACATTAATAATAATAAATGTATCCATTCCGTAAATTAACAGAGTGTTAATGAAGATATCAATAATTAATCCATTATTGTGTTCATATTAGCGTTTTAAATATCTACGTAATAATAATAACATTATTATGAATAAAGCAAAAGTTAATTTATTCAAAACTTTTTGTTTTAAATCATTTTTCAAAAATAAATCTTAATTACTTCCAAAATTATATTCTTTATAAAATAAATATATTAAACTACAAACTAGGTATATCTCTTGGGTTATTAAAAAATATTGTTTGTCTTTTTTTTTTTATATTATAATCTTATTTGCATAAATAGTTCATTACCTAAAATATACCCAAATTTCAAATTACACATGTTTTAGTTTGATTCTTGGTCTCAAATGCCGATTAAGGGAGGTACCTTTTATAAATATTTTTAATGTACACAAAATTAATAACAAATTTATATTTTATTTTTAATAGGTAAAATATTTTATTTTCATACATTTACTATGTTATACCTATTGATATATTTATTTATTTTATAACAGTAGAGGCTGTGGTCCTCAGTACAGAATAATATATATATATAAGAAATAAAAACTTTAAGACTAACATTGTTTACTAAAATAAACATATTTTAACAGATAGCGAGATTTAAAAAATTGCCGTGTTACGTGAATAATTGGTAAGGGCAAAGGTGTATGAAAAAAAGATAGGGTGATAGCAACAAGAAGCTGGGGATCTTGAAATTTATTACTTTGCAGTTCAGAACCGTCTATGAGTTTTCTTAGAAATAACTGGTTAGCAGAAATATGCCTTTCAGCTGGGATTGATAGTCATAAAATCTTAAGCACCGGTTCATAATTATGATATATTTTATTTTCATGTGCCATTCCCTTTCTAATGGTAATAAAAAATAGTTGAATTTTCGCCATTGCTTAGTGCTGATTTTCTTAGCCCAGACAAACCTATGATCCCATTTCAGTTTCATGCAGATAACTCGACATTTATTTAGATAAGATAAACAATATAATGCTATACTTATATGGATATCAAAAAGATAACGTTTTAAATTTACCTATATTTTTTTTACCAACGCACCTATATTTTGAATTTTTTTATTATATTATAATTAGATATTTCCATAAATACAAATTTAAATATAAGTTACAAAAGTTAATACACACAATTGTAAGTCAGACTATACACTAAATTAGTTTAAAGACCACAATCAGCAGAGTTAAAATGTTAAATGATATAAACCACAATAATTACTAGTTTAAATGTTTAAGAGTTACCTGCAATAATTGGGTTGCTTATTAACACAATAACATTATTTTCATTAAAAACTTGATCATTAACCTATTATTTTCATTTTTTTACGACCTAACCTTTGATGTCTTACATATTCACATTGGTACCTAAATATTCATACTACTGTAGCCAAAGACTTTTCTGAGGTTAATTGTTTATCCAAGTAATTAAACCATCATTATAAGTTGCATTTAGTAACCAACAAAAAAAAGTTGAGTTTAATGTAGTATTTTTTTTTTATACGAATGAATTTTAGTATCAAATTTAAATGAAGATTATAAATATTACGGCCATTTGAAACATGTATACCCGAACTCCTCTCAAAATCGTTTTTAATTAGCAATGTTTAATCGTTGCGTACAGATATATATTAAATTCCTCTCTATATCTTACCTTCCCTACTTCTCACATACAACAATGACCCATCCATCGTGTGAAGTATGTCTGCCTTTTTAATGTCAACTAAAAATGCTTACACAATATATAGGTATTAAATATAATAATGAAATAGACAGGTAAACTTGTACTGATTGTTTTAAATATGAATTGGCGGCATTTGCTGACATTTTTGTTTTTTATTGATAAAGTGATAATCTATTATCAACATCGACAATTAAAGTATTTCAGAAAGTTATGAGAAAAGAAAAAATTAAATGAACAACTTTTAAATATAATTTGTTTACATTGCGAGAATATTCTTCGTAAGAACCATGCAAAAGTACGAAAAATTAGACAAAATTGGAGAAGGTAAGGGTGATCTATATATCAGTATGCAAATAAATTCTGTAACAAAATCATTTTCAACAGGAACTTACGGCACGGTGTTTAAAGCTAAAAATCGAGAAACTCTCGAGATTGTTGCTTTGAAACGTGTAAGACTTGATGATGATGATGAGGTATAATACTTTTTGGTGAAGTTTTGTTCGTTTTTAAACTGAATATATTTCCAGGGTGTTCCTTCGTCAGCTTTACGTGAAATCTGTTTGTTAAAAGAATTGAAACACAGGAACATTGTACGTTTGTATGATGTACTTCATAGTGATAAAAAATTGGTGCTTGTATTTGAACATTGTGATCAAGACTTGAAAAAATATTTTGACAGTTTGAATGGAGATATTGACCCAAACGTTGTGAAATCATTCATGTACCTATTACTATAGTATTATATTACTAGTTATTCAGGATGCTAATATAAATATTTAAATATATAATTATTTTAGGTACCAGTTATTACGAGGATTAGCATTTTGCCACAGTCACAATGTCTTGCATCGGGACCTTAAACCACAGAATCTTCTCATAAATAAGGTTATCAAATTTTTATTTTGTATACAGTATTTCAAAATAATTATTAATAGAATTATATATATATATAATATTGTACTAAACCAAATCATATATTTAGAACGGAGAATTAAAACTAGCCGATTTTGGTCTGGCTAGGGCATTTGGAATACCAGTTAAATGCTATTCAGCAGAAGTAGTCACATTGTGGTATAGACCTCCTGATGTTTTATTTGGTGCTAAACTTTACACTACATCTATTGACATGTGGTCTGCTGGATGTATATTTGCTGGTATGTTTCATATGTTACTGGTTTTAAAATTATAATTACCTAATTAATATAATTATATAATAATAATATAATAAATTAATGGATTGTAATTAGAATTAGCCAATGCTGGAAGACCACTATTTCCTGGTTCAGATGTGGACGATCAATTAAAACGAATTTTTAAACTTTTGGGAACACCCACCGACGAGACATGGCCAAATATGACAACTCTGCCAGACTATAAACCAATGCCAATGTACCAACCCAACATGACATTAGTACAGGTTGGTTTATTTTTCTAAAATAATAAGAATAATCGAACCTACACTAGTAGTTTTATAACTTTAACAATATATATAATTTTAGGTAGTACCTAAATCAACAACAAAAATGCGAGATTTATTACAAAGATTACTGGTATGCAATCCATCACATAGAATATCAGCAGAACAAGCGATGAGCCATATTTACTTTACAGATATAAATTTGTTACCTAAATAATTCAATTTTAAAATGGTTATTGTATTAAAAGTACAATTTAATAATGTCTGAGTTTTAAAGGGCTGACAGTTTAATTATTTATTTTAAAGTATTTTATGTTAGTTATTATAATAAATATATTTCTGTTGATTCATTAGAATTAATAGAACATTACAGTATATAGATCTACACTCATTTTTATTATTTTTTTTAATTTAATATTTTTAATAATTATTTTCTAATTTAATTTAAGTCTATTAATCTGTAACCTTTTTTTTTTCTTCTTAATTTTATCTTACTTTTGCATGTGTTCTAAGATACTACAATGTGTTGCTATTCCTGTTTAGATCTCAATAATTATTGTATTAAAATGTAATTTACTGGTTTGTATTTAAAAATAATACTTGAATGTTTTGTAAACACTTGTACTATGAACTGTTTTATACATTAAAATCTTAATTCATGAATTAATTTATGATATTGTAGTCAAATTTTTATTTTGATAGGTTTAAAAATCCAACCAGACTCCGTTAAATTTATTATATTTTGAAATATAATACTTTAAATTTGATTGTACACAAAAATAATATTATTTTTACAAAACAAATAATAACTACAGTGTTTAATTATAAATGATATTTGCTTATGTGTACCATGAGTACTACAACATTTAATACAACTTTTCTCTTTTTGTTCTAAAGAATTTTAATTTAAATGAGTTCTTTTTCTGATATTTTAATTGAGTGTTTATTTATCTTTATAATGGAATGCATTTGATTATTTTAGAACGTTATGATTACATAATATATTTACACACTTAAAATAATTTTATAAAAACTATAATTTAACATCAAACATTCATTATTTTTTTAAAAATTACTTTTAATTCAAAAATGCCAATACAACACATCATCATGGGCACCAGGTTTTCCAATTTTCACGGGGGCCCAAAATCCTAAAACTATTTAACTTGTAATCAAAATAAAAAAAACCAACAAAGCATTAGTCCTTTATTGACTTAATTTTTGTATTTAGAGAGGACGATGAGGCGCCATCGATCTAAGGCAATAAACTTTTTTTTTGGAGGTCTACATATAGGCTATTCTTTTACCCATCACCAAAATAAAAGCCCAGAAGTGTAAGTTTTCTGAATTATGCCTAAGGGTGGTAAAACTATAAATACCTCTTGATCAATATATTAAAAATAATGAAGACTAGCAAGCAAATAAAAACAAAATGGTTTTTTTATTTTTAACTATAAGTAGTACCTACTAGAAACAAATTATATTTTTAGATAAATAAGAAATAGCATTCTTTTTGTCCATACAGAATTTAATAATAGTTTAAAATAAAGTTGTACAATAGGTATATATTTCTTCATTTTTCAAAAAATCTCAAACATATCTCACTTTGGTCGTATTAAAAAATTTGTTAGCAATCTATCTCATTAATGTTTATTTTTTCTTCTTTATATGCATGTAATATCACTATATTTTTAATCGTATTTGTGTTATTGTTGACTATAAGAATGTTTTACAGCTTTGCACAATGAAACTGGTACAGTTTACATAATTTTAATTGATTTAATCATTTCTGGTATCAAATTTTGTAAATATACAACTCTGGTTTCAAAAAATCAATTGCATCTGATACTGATGATAAATTAAATTTTTTTGCTCAAACAGCATCCAACATAATATTACAGTGATGTAATTTTAATTTAATCCAATCGAAATTAGAGCCATAGTATTTACTTATAATAGATGTATTTATTTTTTTAAGATCTACTATAAAGTTTTCTACTTTTGCATGATTTATTAAAACGTACCTAATTATAACACTATCGTCACAATCGTCGACAACACCACCAAAATAACAAAAAAAAACCCAAAACATATATTAATTAAAAATGATTATTTCTACATGTATAATATTAACATATTAAATATTTATATATTTTATTAATTTGAAATCGACTATAGGGTGCTTGAGCACTGCAGCACCCCAATAACCGGTGCCCATGCACATCATTTCTAATAAAACAGTTTAAAAAGCAGACTACTAAAATATCTAAAAAAACATTTGTCTATGTTATCTCATCCCAAAATTTAAAACAAAATAAAATTTCGAAGTACTGAACAAAAATATTATAATTTAATTAAGAATAAATCGTAATTGATAAAAAACTTACAAGTTCCTTAACATTAAATATAATTAATATAATAATAATAATGTATATTTAAATTATATAAAATATAAATGTATTGTATGAAAAAATTAACATTGTTCACAGTAAAATTAATTTAATATTCTAATATGATTGGGATTTAGGTACTTATTTAATATTATAACGACTTATACAAATTGAATTTAAAATGTTAATATTATAATTATTTGAGCAATTAAAACATCACATTAGGATATTAGGAAAAAAATATCCGGATGTTTAATCAAAAAATGTATAGGATGTATATATATAATAAACCTTAGTCAATATAAAATTAAATTTAACAAGAATATCTTGTTTTTAATACTATGACTATGGGGGTTCAAATCTAAGTTAGAAAAAATAAATTTGTAAAACAATTAAATAAATAACTACTTCTAAAAGCATAATGCTAAATTACCATCCAGTATAAACCAAATAATCATTCTTGTTTGTGTACTTTTGAATGAATTGTTTACCTGCACGTGTAGGCACTGTGAATCCAATTTCATCTAATGTTAATATATGACCATATGCATAGGTTTTACTGGGAAAAAAATATAGTAATTGTATTTTTAAGTCGTTAAATTTTAATAAAAATAAAACCCTTACCGAAAACAGTCAAGTAGTTTAGTAGCGATTCCATTTTTGCGACAATCCCATTTAGTCCATATACGGTTTACACCAACTTTTATAGGATAAGATTCTTCAGAAACAATAACCATATCTTCAGTTCCAGTTTCTAGATTACGATAAGCTTGAGAAATAAGCTCGACAACTAAACATCCGACTACTTGTTTATTTTTTATGTATAAATAAACCTAAAATAAATAATGTTACAATTAATCAGATCTTAATTTTAAATTTCTGTTAGACATACTTTTTTAGTTGCAGGCAAAACACTAACATCTGATGTACTAAAACCAAGTTCTTTATCAACAAATGACATCACTTGTAAAGCTTTGGTACATGAGATTTTAGGATCTGTACCAGATATAACAACAATACGTTCATTCATATCCTGATAAACTACTTTCTCATTTCTAAAACTCTAAAATGTGAAAATAAAATTATGAAATTGATATTCAAAAAAAAATGCCATTTAATTAACACACATTATACTTAAAAATATCTTTAGCTTTATGATATTTCTCATGTTCTTCTTCATCTTCAGGTTCACCTCTAGAATAATATAAACCACATTGTTTGCACAAAAACCCACCAAACTTCTTTTGTCCTGCATCAATTTGATACTGAGAAGCATCCATAATTCTTTTTGCTCTTCGTACTGAAGATTTTTTTTCACTAGAACCACTATTATACAATAACGTTTAAGGTAAATTTTGATTAAAATAAATAAATAAAATATATAATTACAGAAATCCATTATTAGGTGAAGGTGTTTTGTTAGTAAAAATAGGAAATAATTTGTTTTTTGGAGATCCATTTACAGTTGTAACATCATTTGAATTATTTACTGATTCAATAGCCATAATATTAGATTCGACTGTATTAGATACACTAAAAAAAAAAGTTGTACTTTTGTTTATATTATAATCTTTAAGTAATAATTTATTATGGTAACTATTTTTAGGCTTACTCTTTTAAATGAGTAGCTGAAACTGATTCTACTGATTTGTATTGTTCTACATCGTGATTTTCAATATTTTCATCAAAGTCATAAGCATCTCTAATCAAATCAGGCATGTTTTCAGTATCAGTTTTCATACGTTTCGAATCAAAGGCCATAAACGAATCTTCATCTAAACAATAATTCAAAATAATTACAATATTATGTAAATATAGTCAAAATTAACAGTAAAAAAAAAAAAAAAAAAAACTACATAATTATATATTATTTTAAAAATGCTATTTACTTGATTTTATTTATTTAAATATATCATATTTATACCCATAGATTATAAATAATTAAATCTTTATAATTTAAGATACCATTACTTATATCTCCATGATCTCTCTTTGTAGATTTTAATGTCAGCCCTGGAAAATGTATAGCAGTTGAATCATTATCGGTGTCCGCATCATCGTCCAACAATTCTATTAGATCATTAACTTCTTGTCCAATTTTTTCAATTGCCTCATCATTCATTATTTCTGAATTATCAATATCCAATGATAAAACTCTAGAAGAAGTGCTCATCATATTTTCATCACCCCAATTCACAACGTTAAAATTAAAGTTATCTTCTTTTCTAAAAAAAAATATATACAAACATATTATATAAATTATAATGAAAAATTATGTACTTTAATTAATAATATTATTAAAATCTAACTTATTTGGAGTATCATTATGTACTATAGTGGATTTGAAAAATTTTCTGTTTTCAGGTTCTTCAATTTTTATACGTTGAGGTTTTTCATGTTTGATGTATTCAGTCCAATTTTTTTTTTTTGACAATGATTTAGGAATATCAAGATTGAAATTTTTAACAAATTTAATTTCTTCCAAACTAGGTTTTTCTTCGCTTAATTCTGGTTTAATAAATAATTTTTTAGCCATAGGTTTCTTTTTTAATGGTAAAATAACACCTGGGAATAAATGTGTCTTGGGTTTTAGTTCTTGACTGGTTGATTTGGATCTTTTCCTTCCAGTTGACTTGGCATCTTTAAATAATTTAGCTTTTACTTTTGGATTATAATGCAATCGATTAAATCTTTTAACACGGATATCATCTAGTGATAACTGTAAATAAACATACAAATGAATTTAAATTAAAAAATAATACATAATTGATAATTACTAAATTTATGAACATGAATTAGATTTACACATAACATGTGTATAATATTTATTATATTATTGAGTAATTATTAGTACCTAGGTTACTTTTCTATTATAAAAAATTATAGCTATTATTGTGACTACCGCAGATAATAATCCAACTATCACTTTTTTTTATTACATACAATTGAGAAACTGTTGGTTCTTTATAAATATATTTGTATGTTTACAAGTGGCAAATTTAAAATTTTTAATACCTTGATAATATAATAAAATTAATTACCGAGTGGTCTATGATAACAGGAAAGTTGTAACTTTTAATAGACTCAAGTACCTAACCAAATGACACAGTCAACAAATTGGTAATTCCAGATACCTAATAGAGGAAAAAAAGTGCCTAATATTTTAATGAAATTCTCACCTAAAAGTAATTTTGTGAATAATACATACCTAATTTAAATTTCTTACCTGGTGTCCACCATAAAATGATGATGTTTTTACTCCCAACTCAGTCTTATTCTCTTTACTCTTATTCAAGCTAAAGATTTTTTTCGAGGGAGTTTTAGCTTCTTTGTTGGTTTCTGATTCCAGTGGAGTTTTGTTAAAACGTTTAATTAGTCTAGAATCTGGTGTTTCTTCAATCACCATTGTAGCTGAATATGAATTACCATTCTTGGAATCTGACATTAGCTTTTCAAATTGGTCACTCATAGTAGGGCTTAATTCAGTGATTGGAGTACTAATTATATTGTAAGATGTTTTAGGAGTAGTAAATCCAGGAGTATATACTTCAGGAGATTTTTGAAGAGGCACTATGTCATGACCATCTTCATCCAAATTATCTCCTGGAAATAATTCACGCTTTCGATTTGATAAAAATGGTGAAGGTTCAGTTTTACGAAAACGTAAAGATTTCCGAGGAGTTGTAAAAGTGGCCATTGCAACCTAAAACAATATTAAAAATCAAAATTAAAATTTGTATAGTTAAATAAATAGGCATCAATAATAAATAAAATACAATTTATAATTCCAGTTTATTTTCTATAAATATGGACAATATAGTATATGCATTTAGATATTTTAATACACAATAATAGTACACTGATGTCAATCACATACTTTAGGTCCACAGTTCTTGAACTTTTGATAGACTGCTGATTAAGTACTTTATTAAAATGTAGTATACCTTAATTTTCTTTCAAACAATCTTTTTAATTATTAGTATACATATAAGCGTTATGGATCTCCAGAGGCTATGATTCACAATTTAAATACCTTTGTTTTGGTTAGTAATTCAATAAACTACCTTGGAAAATTAAATGGATGTGAAAGAAGGTTGGTTTATAAATTCAACATCTTGTTAGATTAAGTTAATAAATGAACATTAATGAAACTAAAATTATTTTTCATTAAAAAAATTATGAATACCTTGTTGGCACAGTCCAACCCTGACTATATGACAGGTGTCAGTTTTAATTATGTTTTAGTGTTTTACTCGAAAATTTAATTGTACCATTACGGACATTTGAATCATATTATAATACAATGAAGGATTGTGTATAAGTTGGTGTATACAATATGGTAAATATTTTTAATATGTCGTGTGTACTTTGTACGGTATTAAAACTACGAGTAAGATTTTGATTCTGCACCAGATTCTAAAAGAGAAAACTATTAGAAGAATCGGTATCTAATTAATGATGTTTACAAAACATTTGAAAACTTAGTTAATACGATTAGATACATAATGATTATTATTATGCCACTCAAATACTCACGTGGTTATAGGACTCGGAAATATCACAATTGGCAAAATTCAGCGACGTACCTATATAATAGATGGGCCGCATTCACATACTAAATAATCGCGAATGGTGGGTATTGTTTAAAAGGGAAAACAATTTATTTTCACTCGAACGCCGCACAACTTACAACGACGGTGAGCATAACACTTATCAGCCACAGTAAATAATCAACATATTACTATTATTCGCACGAGACAAAAAGAAAAAACACCAATGAAAAACCCAAACAGTAAACGGCCCGTTAATCTTGGCGCTTTAATGATTATTTTCCCATTTCATTGGAAATTGACCATTGTTAAGTTTTTGGAGGGAAACCATCCAAATCGTCCAATCAACATTGCACATGGGGATTTCGGCCGGCTCGGAGACTACCATTACGTTATCTCGGTATAGTTTTTAAACAATATCAAATGGTAACACCTCTTTAAAGTCGTGATAAGATTAAATAAGATAACGGGTGTGAAGTTGGTGGACCAGAGTCAGGGAACTGTTTTGATAAGAAATGACGTCGTGTAATTCAGTGTTGCCTATACCATACAAATTAAAGGAGTAGTGTTATTCAAAGCAAAAGGTATAATAATATGATGGTAACCCGGAAAAAAATGTCCAGAAAAAAATCCCTAAAGCAAACATATACTGTCAAAATTATATGTATAAAAAAAAAAAATGAGAAAGACAAAACATAACGTAAACGTAAAATTGTAGAACAGCTTGTTTCTTAAATGTTCTAGGAAACAAATAAAAAGTTAATATTTTCCGAGATAATGAGTGTATCCACTTAAACGGATCATCTGGTATACGACATAAGGTCGTTATTACAAATATAAATTTGTATACTATTTGTTTTTTATACTTTTTTCTGATTTGTGAATTATTGTAATTTATTATACAAATATTATAGCATACATTTTCATTGTAAAAAACTGTAATTGTAATTTTATTTCCGTTAATAAATATTATTATTACTAATACGAATTAATTTCAACAAAACAAAATACGTCCAATTTAGGAGGGGGGGGTTAAACCCCGTGATAACAGATAATAAATGCAATACTATTTCCACATAATAAAAATATATTGTATTATACGATGTTAAAATAATAGGATAAATCTTATTTTGACGGTACACGAAAATATGTTGTACGTGCGTCGTTTGTCACGTGATCAACCGTAAATATATGAACACAGCGCATTTGCGCATGCGTAAAATTGTAAATTGATCAAGGAACGTAAATCGATACAGCCAATGACGAGAAAGATGCGTGCACCTTACGATGGCTGACCCGTTGTCGATCACCATGGACGTGGCTCACGTCGGTTTCAGTTTCGCGGAACATTATTACGCACTAATGTGTATGACACCGAAGTACGCGCGTCCATTTTACGATGATTTTGGCGAGTATCAGACGGTCTATGAAGACGCGACGCCCGGAACTCAGCTGGAGGTGAAAAAGGTATTGTTGCGACCCATGTCCGCGTCCAAGTTAATCGTTAACTCGATTATTTCGGTGCTCTATGACGGATCTCTTGACCGCCTGCTGGTCCACGCGACCGGCCAATGGTTTACGCATGTTTTCGTCGCAGAGAACGGTCGCTAACTTACGTCACTGTAATTCAAAACATATTTCCACCAGACTCTGGCGACTCTAGCTGCACATGACTGTCGTGGTGACACCGGCGCCGATCGCCGGTTTAACAGCGAAGACACCAGTACGATGTGTGCCGATTATAGACACTTACCACGAACCCTTTCCTGTTAACGTCGCCGATAACACACAGTCCGATATGGCCGTCAAAATCTTACAACACATACTGCACATACATTCTGAAATCAAAAACTCCCGCGAATCATCCTCTTCGAATTACGATACCGGTAATATATATCATGTAATCGCAACCTCCCTTCTCCATATCGTCACTGACATCTTTATGCCCAAAATCAATTCACATATCAATTTAGTCGGAAACAAATGACGAAACGATAATATTATAATTATCCTATTTTTAATTTGAGGTACCCTTAGGGGGGGAGGGGTTTTGACATTTGAAGTCATCCCCATTGGCGGATATTCTGGTAAATGTAAGGAGAAGCTTATAGTGTTAACAAGTTGCATTAATCTATTTTTAGGGGAATTTTGACCATAGTTCGAACATTGGAATGGCACTTAGAAAGTATTAAATTGTCTTGTTCTATGATTAGGAATATTAAAGTTTAGTAAAGAAAACAATTCTAGAAAATGAGTAACACCATTCGTTAATTAAAATAAAGTATAGATCTAATTGTTTCCTTCTATTATCAAGCATTTTTAACATTACAAATGCCAATAGCGGCTGATATGATGAGTGAGACATGCGTTCAATACTACGTCTGAACTGTATAACTCGTAGTAAACAGTTTTGAATTATGATTGGATTCAAGATTAGATTATGAATCCTAGAAAAGGTCATTATTTTACATTTCTTAATATTTAAGTATACATTATTTAGACTACCGAGTACTAAGACAATTAAGGTCTTCCTGGAGTAATAAATTATGTCCTGGAGATTTAATAATACAATTAATTTTCATATCATCTGCATAAATTAACGTATTAGAGTTTATAAATTCAATATTATTAATAAATAAATTAAATAGTAATTGAGCTAAACGTGATCCCTGACGAACACCACAGTTAATTTTAAATAATGATAAATTAAAACTCTCACATTTTATTGCTGCCTACCAGATATAAAGGAAACTAAGCCAATAGTGAAAAAGATCATGTATACCTAAATTGAATAGCTTTGAACTTAGTACAATGTGATCAATTTTATAAAATGCCTTGGAGAAATCTGTATATATGACATAAACCTGAAAGCCGAATATAAATGCTTGTAAGATGTGATTTTGAAATACAAGTAAATTGGTGGTGATTGATTTACCTGACATGAAGCCATTATGTCATTCCTCTTCAATATGTTCAGATCAAAATTTGATCTTACTAAGTGAAATCAATATTGATATTAGTATTTTCAAGTGTGAAGAACATAACTTAAAAAACAATGTTGTAATGTTATATTTATTTACTTGGTGTAAAAATATAAACCGCCTATTGCATGGTATTGATTTTAAGAAGGATTTAAAATTTCCTATTACTTAACCTTTATTATTATATATTTTCAATTGTGTAATTTTTTTTATTATACCCAATAACTTTTTTGACAGTATTTTTATTATATTAATATTATGATTAATAATAGTTAAAGTTGTTACTGTTTGTTATAATAATTGTTTAACAGTATTTCTTTTTATTATTATATAAAAATTAAAATACCAGTTTATATAATTTTTATTTATTTTTTAATTTAGTTTCCTGTTCAATTTTTACTTTTTAAGTATACATTTTATAATCGATGAATATATATATATATAATTAAAATATAATTGATATCTATAATATAGATACCTATAAATGCCAGCGGAAGTGCTAGAAATTATGTTTCAATGATAATCGCATTGTGTACATTCTATTATATTCTTATGTTATAATTAAAGACCAGATTAAATTGCATTTAAAACACACAAAAATTGCATATTAAAATGTTATTGTATGCATATAAATGCAAGTTGTATAAAAAAAAATTAGATAAATGTTAGTTTTTTTATTAAAATTGATAATTAGATACATTTCTAAATTATTTTCATTAAAATTAAATCTTCTGTTATTTAAAATATGTTTGTACAAAGAAAAACTATGATCTACATCCACAATTATTGGTGCATATTTAAAACAATTTAATAAAGTAGGCGTTATATCTAAATTAACATTTGCTTTAGCTGACATGACTTCATAGTAAGACTAAAATTTTATACCCTTCATTTTTTTCAATTACATACATACATTTTTCTTTAATTTTTTTCCCATTTAGACCAGGAATATTTGTTAAAACGTCTTCATTTTTTCTAACAATATCCATACTTTTCACTATTAGATTCTTCCAAATTTTTAAGATTCATGGATAACTTGGATAAATGTAATTTTATGAGTGCTGAACCACATAAAATTACATAAATAAATATTATATTTCTGTATTATCTGTTCCACAGATTTTCATGTTTGCGGTATAATTGCACAAATTTTTATGCTGTTTCTTCACTCCAACGGTTAGACATTTCGATTTTCAAATTTCACTTCTCACAATTTTACGTACGCGCACGATATACTGTTCTCATTGATGGACAAATTTTATATCAAACTGATATAATCCAATAGCGCATGTCGGTTACTGTTTACACAATAGTGGCCAGTGTTGCCAGACTTGGGAATTTTCCCCCGAATTTGGTGATNTTATCTCCATAGACAATAAAGAAAAGCTTTATTATCTATGATTACCTTACGAAAAAAAAACTATGTTATAGTCTGTCCCATAAGGGATCAGGCCACTTATCGACCAAAACCAGTTTCTGCCGCCCATCACCACGCTGCAACCATGCCCGTCGATTATCCGCCTGTCGACACTCGAAGTCAGTTTTAACAATATACATACGTAGAAACGGCCTGATCTCTTGTGAGACAAATTATACCATGGTTTTTTTCGTAAGGTAATCATAGATAATAAAGCTTTTCTTTATTGTCTATGGAGATAATAAGAAATTGTATGGTTATTGCACTGGACGTGTTCGTATTGAGGACAAAACTCAATTTTTTGAGAATTTCCCAAGCACCTAAAAAATCACCAAATTCGGGGGAAAATTCCCAAGTCTGGCAACACTGGCCACTATTGTGTAAACAGTAACCGACATGCGCTATTGGATTATATCAGTTTGATATAAACAATTCTTCCATCAATGAAAACAGTATATCGTGCGCGTACGTAAAATTGTGAGAAGTGAAATTTGAAAATCGAAATGTCTAACAGTTGGAGTGAAGAAACAACATTAAAATTTGTACAATTATACCGCACACATGAAAATCTTTGGAACATATTTATTTCGGAGTATGTCAATCATGATTATAGGATTGCATCTATGGAAGCTATCGCATGCGAATTAAATTTGCCAAACTTCTTAATGAAAGACGTACGCAGAAAAATTAATGCTTTGCGTTCGACTTATTATTTGGAATTGGCGAAAATAGAAAAAAGTAAAGCCAGTGGTGAAGGCACTGATTCTGTATGTATACAAGCCTTTATTGCCGTGGTTCGATGATGTGAGCCATACTACGAAAACAACAACTATCAAAGAAAATGAAACGTACAGTAATTTTGTGAGTAAAACATAAATTAGATCAACTTTTAGAATTCATCGTGGCGCATTGGGTAATGAGTTGCTATAGTAACTGTGGTATATCGAAATCGATTCCGTCCACTGCGCTGTGAATTTTTGCACTTTTTTTGAAACACTTGTTTCATTTCCGTATGTGACTTGAACATTTTTATTTTGTCCTGAGGCTCACTCCAATCGATTTTTTTCTCTGTACGTAATCTTTTTACCTACCCGACGTGGCTTTGCACAACAAATCGAGATTTTATTTTCGATTAGAATAGTGCGAGTGCAGCGATTTAATACGTATTAGATATGTATGAAATATCGTCGCTTCCATGGCAAAATCGCCTAACTCGAAATTATATATGTATTAAATACCTATGTACACGATTAAAATATCAAAACAATAAGAAACACGTTACGTTTTTGGTGTAATAAAAAAAAGTATTAAGTGTATACGTGATCATGACATGACATTCATCATGGACCAATCTTCATTGGATAAATATAAATGGATGTGTTGATATAAGTCTAAGGGCCCAAAACAAATGCATACAAATTTCCCTACAGGTAACTCATCACCCAATGCACCACGGTCAATTCTAAATAATTGAGTTAAAAATAAATAAGTATTAAACAAAAACTGTATTAACAACGAATTAAAAACTTCCATAACTACTTTAATAATGATTAAAAAATTCAAATAGTTTCGAAATAAGCATTGCAAACCCCATCTTCAAAAAAAAAAAAATTGAAAAATAAATGGCGTTCAGTTAAGTGAACTAGTTCCCATAATAAATACTTAAATATTAATAAAAAATACACATTTAAGAATAAAATATTCATCATTTTCATGCATATTTAAGGGAAACGCATCATACCCTTATTTCCCACCAGTACTCTTCCTTTTGGTAGTTATGAATCATTTTGTAGTAAAGGATATTATTCATAGTACTGAAAAACACCACCATTAGCATTTCCCCCATAAAACCTAACATCAATATACCTAAAGCAATAGTTGTGATTGAATATACCAAGAAGAACAATACTGTTTGTACCTTAGTAATTTTAGTAATTACTCCCTGTAATTGAGGGTCCTTTTATTACTATATGTTTTCCGTCAATAGCTCCACATCATCCAGGAGAGTTCCACCTTTTATTAAATCCAAATTGAATTTCTTCTCATTTCTTTTATTTGGAACCTGAAAAACAGTAGAAATGGTAAGAACTTGTAAAACTCTTAAGTATTTAATTTTTAGAAAACCGGAGTTCAATACACATAGTGTTGCATCTACTATTCAATCCAATCCATATGTAGCACATACAACAACCAGTGAAAAAAGTACTATAGCAAATACTGCAAAATAACTTTATTTGTTATAATACAGGGTTGGCCAAAACGAGGCTTACGAGACTTGCATGCGGCTCTTAAATTAGTTACCTGCGGCTCTTGAACCAGGCTTAGACTAAAATTAATAAATATATAATTCTGTTAGAATCGTTCGATAGTGTTTTTATTGCTGTTGGTTTCGTTATCATTACAATCATTGTTATAGATTGGCACGGCGGCCAATTAAATGTGTTAAATCTTAATATCTATATGAATTAACTGATCAACATTTAATTGAATTTGTGCGAATTGCGCTTACAAATTATCAAATAGACAATTGAAAAAGCACTTCTCATAAGTAAAATAACAATAATATTAATGTTTTGAGTAGTGTAAAAAATAAATGTTTTTTCATTTTTTTGATTTAAAATGAAAATTATATCTTCATTTTATAAATACCGCTTTACAATGTGGCTCGCCTCGAATCAGCTTTATAAATTTGCGGCACCCAAAATTAATGTTGTGGCCACCCCTGTTATAATATATCAAATCAAATAATAAAAATTAATAAAAGTACATTATGTGTATTTGTACTTTTTTTTATGTATTTGTTCAAAATTTAACTAATCGCACCACATACACCAGGAATCATATTTGAAATAGATGATTTAGAAACGCAGAACATTACTGACATTCTTGAATTTGTTTCTGAAACCAGAAATGTTAGAGGTATTTCTAACTTTAGCCTAACAGGTAAAGCTGGGTACATAACAGTGTCATTATGACTTATGATTGGACTTATTATAAGCAATAACTCTTTAAGTTATTCTAATATTAGCCTAATCACAAATTTAAATTCAAGTAGATCATTGCCGTGTAGTTCTTTAATAACTGTTTCTGATGCTCCATATTTCTTGTTATCCATCCAATCTCTTATCCAGACTTCTTTTTTTTGTTCTTGGATTCCTCACATATATCCAATAGTCTGTCATACAATACTGTAGCAATAGAACATACTGCTTATTTTAAATCCAATACTGTATGTTTCTGTCAATAAGATAATAAAATAATATAACAAAATATATTGTATATTTAATATAAATTTTTTTATATTATCAAGTTGACCTGTGCACTACTTAGTTCTCAAATTTGACAGAACATTGCAACACCTTGTGCATCAGCCTTTACTCTTAATTATTATTTTATTGAACTTATCAATAAGTGGTTTGATCTTAGTAATGGGTCACATCGCAATTCACAATCAAAAAAAGACGTCTTAGGATAATGGGGACGGATGCAGCCACTGTTATAGGTAATTAAATGTACAACTGTAAGCAACGATAAACCATTACTTACGATAAAACCATTCTGAGCGGAGTTCAGTTGATAGTGATGTTTTGTCAACAATATATATGCCATATTATAGTAAAATAAATAAATTGACTTTATAGTTGTCCACAAAGAAAAACAAATTTTTGTAATATTATACAAATATATATCATACATTTTTTTTGGTTTTTCGTATTAAATGAGAAAACTCTGAGAAAATTAAAAAAATGATTCCTCTAAGGTATCTCCCCACACCAATTTCCTTTCAGATAATGTGCTAGACGTAAAAATCGGAGCAAGTTCTCTGATATAAAAGTTGTCCACAGAAAAAAAAAATAAACACCTTTGTAAAACTATAAGCTTCTTTGCTCCACTCAGATGTGGATTTGTAATTTCCTTTATTCGTATCCTGCAATATCTGTGTCGTGTATTCTGCCCTTGGTCTTGCTCTTGCTCTTGCAATGTGTCCTTCAACATCTCCTTTAATTTTTTCTTTACTAAACTTTCATCCCTTAATATGTGTTCTATCATCTTACCTCTTCTGGATTGAATACTTTTCCATAGAAAATATAAATTATAGAATTTACTATACACGGTGATTTTTTTTTTATCATGAACAGCATTATTTCAGAGGATTTTAAGTGAATTTGATTTGATTTTTTTTTAATCATTATCATTTAAGCTTTATTTAAAATAATTTTTAATATTTTACCCCCACTCTATATACCTTAAATAAGTGCATACTTTTGTTTTTCCAATAGGAACCTCCTCTTTTTGAACATTGATTTGAATAGAGGATATCGTTTTAGAAATTTTGATACAAGTGTTATACATATCAAGGGGTGGGATAATAATTAAAAAAAAAAAAAAAAAAAAAAAAAACAGAAATCAAATTCACTTAAAATCCTCTGAGATAATTGCTGGTTCATGATAAAAAAAATCACCTTGTATAATAAACATGTTCTAATGAAATAGTTTCTTGAATATTACATATATTCTAAAATGTATAAAATTAATAAGTAGCTAAGTAAGTACTTAATAAATAAGAGCTATGATCAATTATTATTTCTTTCAAGTTTGGTAATAGGTACTGTGTTAAAATAATTAAACCTAACAATAATAATACAATTATTATAAAGTTGCTAACTAAATACCAATGATTACTTTTAAAATGAATTACTTACAACAATTACATTTGAATCCTTTGTTTCATTAGCTCTGGTCAGGCACGTCTCTGAAGGGAGAAGGACGATTGCTCCCAGTCCCACCCTCCTTAAACCGTGTGGTGTTCTTGTTTGCTATACAAAAATATTCTTAATTTTCAAGTACAAATGCAACTGGTTCTAAATTTCATCAAGATGATTCCAGATCTTTGAAATACTTTGATTAATACAAGAATTAAACTCTTCTCGTTTATATATTTCAATAAATATTCTTTCAAGGATGAGAAAAATATATGTAAAACTAATTGAAAAAACAGTCAATTTGCAAAGATATAACCCAGACAGTAAATTAAGTTTACAGAAATTTTCTGGAAACATTTCAAATGTAATGTATAATGTTCCAGAAATGTTTAATTTTGGTTCAACAAATATTACTGGAATTTTATTCCAATATTTTGTAGTAATTATTTGTCAGTCTTTGAAATGTTTAACTAATGTTAAAAAAATAAAGTTAAAATAATATTACAATTTTAATGTTCTAGGAATATTATAATTTATTTTAAAGAATATTACTAAAACTTTATTATAATGTTATATTTCTGCCTTTTAATTGTTAAATTAAATTAAAATATTTAATATTGCTTTAAGAATAGTTCCCTGAATTCTCCCCCTCCCGTGGAATGGTAAAATACTATTTTAAATCCTTTATTTACTAGTCCTAAATAGTTAAAAATGTTTAATAATTTTTTTTTTCTTATAAACATCAACAGTTTAATGTCTTTCCGATTTCTTCTTCAATCTTTTATCATAGTAACGCCTACATTGAGTTCCTTGGCAATTTTTTAGAGTGATTCCCCTTTGTCTAGTCTTTGTAGCACTACTAATTTTTCATTTAATGAAAGAGTAACGTGTTTACGTTTCATAGCTGACATGTCGAATAAACACACAACTGTACACACAATGTAAAACAAATATCTATAATGAACACAGAAGAACACCGTCGTAACAAAAAACGCGCACAACGACAGTAACGATAAGAGAGGTGATGGAGTACTGAAACGGACAAACGATAAGGAAAATAGTGATCTGGTAATTGATTTTATATAAATTTATATTTATAT